CCCCCCCCCCCCCCCCCCCTCCCCTACATTGCCAGCACTGGAGGCGTCTAGCCACACTCTCTCCTTCCTACCCCATTCACACTTATGCTTGGGCCTGCTGGCCAATAGACAAACTTCTAGTTGGTCAGATCATGCCTGCATGTCTAACTTAGGTGTATGACAACTAAACTTTAGAAGAAGGAAAAGAAGAATCAAAATGGTTTTACGGTGCTGAAATTATTAGAACTTTGAGGTCAAGAAATTACCATAAGACATTCAATGGTACATAGTAATATTATCATACAAATCTTAATGTACTGGATAATCCTTCTTGATGGTGATTTCTTGAGTTAAAAAGACCATTACTATCAGTAGATGTTTTGTAAGCTGGCCAGCAGAGACTAAACCCAAATGAATAAGTATTGTGCTTAGTGGATAAAACCAAACGTTAGTGGAATTGGTATGTGACTCCCCTACTTAAAGGAGAACTATGAGGTGAGTGCTTTTCACTCACCTCATAGTTCTAGCCGACCTGTGACAATGAGACTGTCACAGGACGGCTCAGTAGATCGGGAGGTGAGCGAACACATACCGGCGTTCGCTCACTTCTCGATCCTGTCACGGCTCTCTGCCGTGACAGGGGAGGGGCTGGATTCCCCACTCCGCCAGCGCTGAATGGAACGGACGGGGGAGGGGGCGGGTACAGCTGGCTATGCCTCTAGATAGGCAGAGCCAACTGTCAGTCACGCAGCTAGGCGGATCCCGGCACAATTGTCGGGATCCGCTTCAGCTGCGGCGTCTCCATATACCGCGAGCAGCTGCTTGCGGTATACTGCTGCGTCTCAGTATACCGCGAGCTATAGCTTGCGGTATACTGAGCCTAGGGGGACGGGGGGTCGCTAGTTTGTGTCCTCCCATTACCCTAAGGAGAACTATGGGGAAAAGCCCAAACTCCATAGTTCTCCTTTAAGGCGCATCTAAACCCAATGTAATAAAACATATAAAAATGTAATATATTGCAGCCTACTAGTCCTTACATGTGGTGATTGCATTTGTTTCCCTTTATTTTCATCTGGTGGTCTCCTACTAACACACATCTTGCCTTGGAGTGACAACTGTGACAACTATTACTCACTGCAATGTTCCTAGGGCGGAGCAGCCTTGTCATATAGGCCTGAAAAAAGAAAACTGATGCAGTCACCACATCTCAGGACTGGTAATCTGCAATATATCACATTTTCATTCTTGGGTTTTAAATACACTTTGGGGATGATTTTTAAATCATCCGCCCTAACATACGGTGGCCTAATGTTGTTTGCACAGCATTCTACCACCTAGAAGGAGCAGGGCAGAACAGGAGGTATATTAATGTAGGCATGTGATGAGACTGTTTTATATGTATTTGGGTGCCCATGTGAAAGACTATGGGGGTTATTCACAAAGCTAGCCGAAGGATCAGCCGTAGCTCCAGTTGATCCTTCGGCTAGCTTCGGCTGCCTAAGCCCTTCGGTTCAGTAGAACTGAAGGGCTGCTGTACGGGCTATTCACCATAACCCGTAAAGCTCCCGAAGTTGGCCAAGCTGCACGGTCGGGCCGAAGGCATATGCTTCGGCTCAGCCGAGCTGAAAACCGAAGCGGGCCAAGCGGCCGTCCGAAAGCCTGCTACTGACAGCTGGGCGGAGCCAGCCGTCATCTCCTGGCTGGCTCCGGCCATTTGCAATGACAGATCAGCGTCCCCTGGCCAATAGGAAATAGTTGGGCGGAGCTAGCTGTCACTGCTAGCTCCGCCAAATCGTTTTCTACGTTTTTTAAACTTTTTTTCAGTTTTTCTTTTCTGCTCGGTACCATGGTAGGTACCGAGCAGAATAGCTGAGCTGAATGCCACTCGGCGGCATTCGGCTAGTCACTCACTGCTGTTCGGCCCCTATGAGAATAGGCCAAACAGCAGCGAGTAGCCTGCCGGAGGTTCGGCTCAGCCGATCCAGATGTTGGATCTGCTGAGTTGAACTCCTTCTGCACTTCGGGTCTGCCGAACATGCTCGGCCGACCCGAAGGCAGCCGAAGCAAGCCGATGTACGGCTGATTTCAGCCGCTGCACGGCTGAAATCAAATTTACAAGCCTGAAGTGAATAGCCGAACAGCGTTCAGCTCACTTCACTTCAGGTCGGTTATTCACCCGGCTACCTTCGGCAGCTTTGTGATTAACCCTGTATGTCTGTACAGTTTGGCAATCACTGTTTTTAATTTTTTAACAAAGGTCTGGTTTTTGAAAACTCACCACTATAACACAGTATACCTGTGTGGAGTGGTTGTATCCTGCTTTTACCATCACTAACCTTATAGTGCAAACATATGCTTATTACAAACTTTGTCTCTGTAGACACTGATCCTGTTGAGTTAATGCTATTTTTATAGCACAATAACTATGTATAGTTCCCATTTTTCCATTCAAGATGTTAGGTTTGGGGGCCCTAATGGCAGAGACAAACGTTTTACAAAGCCTTCTGAAAATGGACACATTATAAATACAAATGGACTTATGCATAGAACTTCTGGCCTACTTTGTGCCTCCAGTAAGTGACATGTTCATTCAGTGATACTAAATTATAAAAAAATAAATGTGTAAGGGAAACTGGCTACATAGTCAATAGCAGCCAGTCAGATGTCTCCTTCATTTTATACTATGCAGTAGATATTTAAATCCATGAATGTGATTGATTACTATGGATAAGTGTCCTTTTTCCTTGATGTGTATACATTTTGGCAAAAACAAATAAAACCTAACACCCTAAGGCTGACCGTACACTTAGAATATTGGCCGATTTACAGGATTCGGCCGCAAATCTTACAGTGGGTGGCCCTGCTGACTTGACAGAAGTTGATTACTGAATCGACTTTTGTCAAATAGGCCAGGGCAAACATTATTGGCTGCTGAACATTAGCGGTGGGTGCTGATTGTCAGAATACAACAGCCACAGCGTGAATGGAGGAATCTGCTAGATTTTTTTCCTTCAGGCCATAGGCTGAATGAACAATATCTAATAGTGTATGATCAGCCTATGTACGGTGATTCCCGAATTTGTTGGACATTATGGACCTTTCATCTTGGGTCTACATTTCCTTCTTCAGGTGGTTGTAGTTACGGTCACAAGATGTCTTTGTAGAGTTTTCTTTTGCAGACAGAGATCTTTTCCTTTGAGGTAAAACCATGAGCACCAGGACAGGAAGGATGTGCAAGCAGAAGAACAAAGACCTGCATGGAAGGAGCAATAAGTCTGCATTACTCAAAGATCATAACATACCCAAATAAATGCAATTAGGTCCTCAAGATGGCATTATCTTATTTTACCATGCTTTAATTGTGAGTACTGAAATGAAAGTGTTATTGACAGTTTCTCTATAAGGCCCTTTTCACACGACCGTTCTGGTCAGATCCGCCTGTCTGAGCTGATCGGACGCGCAATCCAATCACCTCTGAGTCCATCTAGGTCCCATATAAAAAAAGAAAAGGTTTTGCGTCCTCTTCCTTTTTTTTCTGACCTAAACGTGATGGATTAGATGCCATGTCTGTTTACATCCGCCTACCTAACATGAGCTCTGTTTTTTGGACATAAATATCACAAAAACTGACATCCATCCTGTCCTGCTCTGATTCAGCAGTGAATTTGTGCATGGTTCTCCTGCTGATCAGAATGCTTGAAAGGGGTCTAACTCATTACTACAGGACAAAGTGAGAGAAAATGAAAAGCAGTGAAATAAAACAGATTGAATACATTAACAGCAGAAACCAAAGGAAATGAATATAGAGGAGAGATTGTTAAATGATCCGTAGTACATGATATGTAGCCCTGTACCCCCTTTTCCACTTACAGAGCTAGGTTATTTTTCTTTTAAATAAATATTCATGTAATTATATTGGTATCTATCTACCAGTAGCTGCCTCATTTCCCACCCTCGGCTTATATTCGGGTCAATACTTTTTCCCAGTTTTTTTGGTCAAATTAGGTACCTCGGCTTATATTCAGGACGGCTTATACTCGAGTATATACGGTAGCTTTATACTGAATCAGGTCTGCAGCTACTTGCTTCATTGGTTGACTGGTTTCAGATCAGTCCACCTATTTCCAATGTGTTTATAAATCAGTCCGCAGGTCAGCGAACTAGAAAGACAGCGAAGTGGCCACATTTCCAGATAAGCTGGCAAGCTAGAACTAAACAGGACAATGTCTACAGGAAAAGGGAGACCCGTGGATTACAGATTTGTATTTTTGCCACTGTTCTATTGCTTTACTAATGCTGCATTTTTTCATATTCCAATACAGCACCTTGGTCATAGGTGAACTTTAATTAAACAATAAGATACTTGAAAAGTGGCATCAAAACGATGGAGTCTAAAATTAATGAATGGAAGTGACAAATTTGACTGCTGAAACTGGAAATAGGAAAAAAGAGAAATACAAACAAGCAAACTAACCATCCCTAAAGTGAACCCATGCTTTGCCTATGCAGGCAACATCAACTAGTTCACTTTCAAGCTTTGTTCCCCAGCAGTCTTTCCTGGTGCCTACATGGCAGCATACCTATGGTTTGTGCCCTGGCCGTATAGGTATGCTGCCATGTATAGGCAACAGGAAAGGAAAATTATGGAAAGGTAAGTATTCAATTATCTGTTTTCCTGGTGCCTACATGGCAGCATACAATTGTGGGCAGGACACCAACCATAGATATGCTGCCATGTATAGATACCAGGAAAGGAAAATTATGGAAAGGTAAGTATTTAATTTTCTGGTTTCCTGGTGTGCACATGGCAGCATAGAATTGTGGGCAGGACACCAACCATAGGTATGCTGCCATGTACAGGCACCAGAAAAGGAATATTACGGAAAGGTAAGTATTCAATTTTCTGGCTTCCTGGTGTCTACATGGCAGCATACAATTGTGGGCAGGACACCAACCATAGGTATGCTGCCATGTATAGACACCAGAAAAAGGAAAATATGGAAAGTTAAGTATTACATTTTCTGATATACACATCATTCCTTCACTACTGTTTGACTCTGTTCATCCTTCCAGAGTGAGGCAATTAGGCCCTTTGTTAGCTATAGTTGGCGGTTTCACAGGGTTGACTGTCTCCATGTAAGGCTTAGTGATTAGCATCTGCCTTGCAGCACTGGGGTCCTTGCTTTGAGTCCTATTTGGCACACCTGAAATAAATTGCTACCCCACTTAGCAATTCATAACTAGCTGTAAAGCAAGGTGCACATGGAAGGGCTTTTACACAGTACAAAAGCAAAAAATTACTAGCACACTCACCAGCCAACCTGCAAAAAAACACTAACTAGTAGGGTTGGGCTGCGTCTTAGCAAACCTGCACCCAATTCATCCTTTGCTATATATGTTTCAAGATGGAGGCTCTGTTAGATTAGAGTTAGGACTACACTACACAGAGGGGCGTAGACGAGGCAGTGTGGCCTCCACATATTTTGCAAAAGTTGTGCAAGTAAAACCTCTAATAGTGTTTTTTTGCAGGCTAGCTGGTGAGTGTGCTTGGAAATTTGTAGGTTCTCTCTGTGCTTGTGTTGGTGTACTCGTTGGTGTACTCCGGTTTCCTCCCACACTCCAAAGACACGCTGGTAGGTTATTAGGATCCTGTTTAAAATTGGCCCTGTTATATGTGAGAGAGAGACCTTAGATTGTATGTGAATATGGAGTTGAGGGGAATGTACAGAATTTAAAGTGATGTGTAAATTGTTGGTGCTATATAAATAATTTAAACATGTACCCATGTGACAGAGCTGAGCCAATCACCAGCAATGTTACAAAAGATGAAGGGCAGTAAGTCATATGATCTAACATACCCAGAATTAACAGGCAGTTCCAGTGCTCCTAATGGCACACAGTGAGAAAGAGAAGAACGCAAACATGTTGCATTACCCAGCATGAAGCACAGGTTCACTTTAATCTCTATAAACAGGCTTGATAGTGAACAGATTCCAGATTCCCACATTGATTATCCAACTGACTTTTTCTACACCCCCTACATTACCTGTACAGCTGCAGTGATGGTCCGAGCTCTAGTAGCATGAAGGGAGCCACAGTGTAACTCATTGTTATTTGTGTAGTAGCCCAAGTGATTACATCATAGAGGAATCTGTGTAATGCTGTATGCTGAAACCATGGACGCACGTTTTGCCTCACCTGGTGGAAGAAAGAAAAAAAACAGTGTAATGTAAGAATTTTTCACCCTTCTTTCTTATCTGACAACTGTATAAATTAATTATACTTCTGCTTGGCACATGCTTTATTTAAAGTGGAACTCCCACCTAGCAAAACGTTTTTTATGTTATGAATAGGGTGGAGCATATTTAGAACATGTCAGGTGAATAAAAAACCTGACATATTGGCGTAGCCCTCCTGGGCTGCAGCGATAAATTTTAGTACCCCAAGACACAGGAGAACCAGCCCTCTTTCCTTGTTTTGTTCCTCTGTCTGCCATGCCTCGACCCTGGACATTCATACAGTCTGTCCCATTGTCCCGTCTTCACTGTTGCTCCATTCCTAGTTGGTACACTCCCCCATTAGGCCCCCTCGAATCCTACGATGACGCATTCTATGTTTGTCTTGGTGTTTGTCCTCTTTTCTCTTTCTGTAAATTGCCACTCAGTTTATGGTTTGTTAGATGGTGGCTATACTGACCTTTGGATGATGACATATTTGCATACCTTCTTTGTCACCCTGTATATATCTGTAACCTTATATAACGTTTGATCTATAGTATACTGGATTTGTTTCGGGTTACCAAGAGGTCATTTTTACTGAGATGTCTTTTTCATATGTATATGCTTCAAAACCTTAATAAAAATTACATGCTATGGGGCCCCATGATCTACAGTTACCAGGGAGCAGGAAGCTGGCTTCCCGGCCTATCAGGAAGCCAGGGGGCAGGTTGCCACTTGGTGACGAGGGAGCATGGAGCCGGCTTCCCGGCCAATCAGGAAGCCAGGCAGCATGTAATGACTTGGTGCACAGCTTTCTGATTGGTCGGGAAGCTGGCCAATCAGCAAACCAGACGGCAAGTCATTACCTGCCCCCCATCTTCCTGATTGGTGAAGAAGCCGTCTCCACGCTTCCTCATCACCTGGTGACAAGGGAGCATGAAGACAGCTTGCCGGCTGCTCGAGAAGTCGGGTGGCGAGTAATTACATGCCGCCCCGGCTTCCTTAATGGGGCTTCTGGTATCGGTATTCAGTATCGGCGAGTATAGGGAAAAAATATCGGTACTCGACACCGAAAAAGCGGCATCGGTGCATCCCTACTTATTTGTGTATCAGTCAGCTGTAGATCCTCAAATCATCTCTGAATTGGTGCCGACACTGTCCTTCCTTCTGGGGGGTGGCTACAATTCTTCCCCATGGTCCCTGTGTGTGTTGTAAAGTAGCCACCGCTCCAAGCTCACTCCTGTGATGGACTTCTATCTCAATACAAATTAGTAAACTAAACATGAGATTGTAGTCCATCACAGGAGTGAGCTTGGAGGGGTGTCCATCTGTTGCCACCCTTTGGATCATTAATGGACAACTATTAACTAAGAAACCCTAATGTACACAAATGTAAATATTTTACTGTTTTACCTGTCTGGTGGTCACACTAATGAAGGTAACTGCCTACAATACCACCTTTCAGTGTCACAATGTAGATTTAGTGCTCCTGCTGCCTCCCCAATCCATCACTACAACCACTGTTAAAAATCTAAATTTCTAGGTACAGTGCAAACCAGCATGCTCACTTCCCTTCCCATAATGTTGTGCTTGCTAACTGACCATCCTATCACCGGGACTGAGTACTTACACACAGGAAAAGTGTGTTTAGCATGTCATGGAAATACTGACTTTCAGGAAAGTCATGATGCGCCTAGCATCTTTGTGGTTCTAAAGGTGGATCAAGGTGGTGGGCAGGAGCCTTAAAAACGACAGTGTTGCAGTGAAGGGATCCTGCTCTACACTGCGTCATTTCATGAGATTCACACAAAGTCACACTTCCTTTAAATGCTTTTCTCCTGTCTGTAATGTATTTTCTATCCTCTTCTTCACACTGATGGCATCAGGCTGTACCATCTTGAAACCTGCTGTCACTTCCTCTCAGCTGGGCTCCGTCCTGCCCTTATGCAGTTATCTTAGCATGTTGTTTGTACTTAACCTTGCTATATGGCTATCTCTTCATTATTTATTTCAGACATCCCAACCTGCAAACATTTATTTCAGGGAGGTGCACCTCCCTGAAATGATGGCAGTTAGCAGGGGAATCAGCAGATAGCAGAGGAGCTAATGCTTTCCCTGCTATCTGCTGGGGGGGGGGGGTTTGTATTCTGACAGCAGCCGCTTTCAAAATAAAATAAAAAAACAGATAGCAGGGGCATGAATAGCTAGGCTGCTATTGGCCATTTAAAATTGCAATAGCCAGTGAGCACGTGCAATAGCCAGCCTGCTATTAGCTATTGCAATTTGAAATGGCCAATAACAGCCTAGCTATCCATTTCCCTGCTATCAGTTGTCTGTTTTTTTTTTTTTATTCTCACGACTGACAGCGGTCGGCGGGTGCTGTCAGAATGCAAAAAAAACCCACAGTTAGCAGGGGATAGAGCAGAGTAAACCTTTCAGATGTAAACAGGGCCATAGAAATGAATACGATTTTTTGGGGGAAGATTTGTTTGAGCGTTTTATAGGGCAGAAAAAGCGCTACAAGATGCTGTGTGAACCAGGTCTTAGTGTATGGCCAGCTTTAGCGAGTGGAAGTATATATATATGACACTATATGACACAAAAGCGGTGCTTTTAAATGAATGTACTATGCTACGATGTAATCAATAAACAGCCCCAAAGTTAATACATTAGAAGCTTCATAGGCGCACATGAGAGGTCCAGCAATGGTCCATATACAGGTGAAACTCAAATAATTAGAATATCGTGGAAAAGTAATTGCAGTAAGTGCTGCAAAAGGGGCACAAACCAAGTACTGAGTACATATGCATGCTTGTACTTTTCAGAGGTCCGATATTGTTCTATGTACAATCCTTGTTTTATTGATTGCATGTAATAATCTACTTTTTTGAGGTTGTGGATTTGGCGTTCTTGGGGTTTTCATGAGCTGTAAGCCATAATCATCACAATTATGACAAATCACGGCTTGAATTATCTTGCTTTGCATGTAATGAGTCTATCTCATATACTAGTTTCACCTTTTAAGTTACATTAGTGAAATAAATGAACTTTGCACGGTATTCTAATTATTCGAGTTTCACCTGTATACTGATGATCACTGATACGTTCCTGTTCTGAGAAATTTTTGCAGCAGTGTTGTGTGGCAGGAGACAATTAAAATTATATTGAAACCTTGATGCTACTTAAAAAAGGGGGATGAAGAGCTGCTTCTAAAAATTTCATAAAAGTTCAGATTAGTCTGTTTATTCTACATGCCATGGTATGATTTACTGTTGGTAATTTCAGAAAATCTGCCATAAGAAATGCCAGCCGCTCACCGTTGGAGCACTTGTATGTAGACAGGAAGTGGCTCAATGGCTGCAAAGAGGCTGAAGTAGATTAGCGGTACTAAGATACAACAAAGGATGGAAAAAGTGAAAAAAGGAATCTATTTAAAGAATAGCAATTGTTTATGATACCCAGTGCTTGGGCAAATTAAATGTCATTCAATTAGGGTGCACATGTACTTTAAAATTGTCAACTTTATAATCTGCTGACATTTTACATCACTTACCCTACGAGCTGCTAACGTGATTGGCACAGCAGTGAGAAATGTGCAGTAATATCCTGGGTGTACACCATGCCACGCTGCTGACAGTACAAAAGTGGAAAGCAGCGGGTTGTACGGACTTCGGTCATAGCACACCCTGAATGAGAAAATAGAGTTAGTCTAAAAATGTGGAGAGTTAGGTCAGCCAAACATGATCTAGTCTGTCATTGAGAATGAGAGGGGTTAACAGATCTTCCATTGCTGTCAGAACTGAACCTTGCTAGAAATGACTGCAACTTGCATTAGGGTATTGTTCTCCTTTCAATGCAGAAAATCAACATACAGTTGCAGAGATTTTCCAGTTTGGAAAATCAACAGGTATGGCAACAACTCATGCAAGTTCTCATCATTGCTTACAATTTAGGGATCTATTCACAAAGCTGCCGAAGGATCTAGCCGTAGCTTCGGCTGATCCTTCGGCTAGCTTCGGCCCCAGGACCCCTTCGGTTCAGTAGAACCGAAGGGCTGCTGTACGGGCTATTCACTATAGCCCGTACAGCTCCCGAACTTGGCCGAGCGGCTCAGTCGAGCCGAAGGCATATGCTTCGGCTCGACTGAGCTGAGGTGAAAGCCGAAGCTGGCCCAACGGCCAGCCATTGGCCCAGCCGACAGCTTGCTACTGACAGCTGGGCGGAGCCAGCCGTCATCTCTCGGCTGGCTCCAGCCACTTGCAGAGACAGATCAGTGTCCTCTGGTTACCACGTAACCAGGGACGCTGATCTGTCATTACACTGAGAACTCGGCAAAGCCGCTGTGATATCACGGCGGCTTCGCCGAGTTCTCAGTGTGTAATGACAGTTCAGCGTCCCTGGTTACGTGGTAACCAGAGGACGCTGATCTGTCATTACGATGAGAGCTTAGCAGAGCCGGCGGTGATATGAAAGCTGACTCTGCTGAGCTCTCATGGTACTGACAGCTCAGCATCCCTGGTAACCAGAGGACGCTGATCTGTCAGTACCGTGAGAACTCAGCAGAGTCAGCTTTCATATCACCGCTGGCTCCGACAAGCTGTCATTGTAATGACAGCTGGTCCCGGTAAATAGAAAACAGTTGGGCGAAGCTAGCTGTCACTAATCGTTTTCTTTATTTTTTTTCTACTTTTTTAACTGTTCTTCTATTCTGCTCGGTATTACCGTGCAGAATAGCCGAGTCGAATGCCGCTCGGCGGCATTCGACTATTCACTCACTGCTGTTCGGCATCTATTAATCAGCCGTACCAGCCTGAAGTGAATAGCCGAACAGTGTTCGGCTCACTTCACTTCTGATCGGTCATTCACTCGGCTGCCCTCGGCAGCTTTGTGAATAGACCCCTTAGTCTTTTTGGCAGGGGGTCTTTTTTGGGGGGGGGATTTTTTTTGGGAATATTTGGGGAATTTTTTTCAGCATCAGGTACCAATTACAAGAGGTACATATTTTGACAGTTGTACTTGAAGTAAAACTGAAGCCAAAACTTTTGTTTTTGCTTTTGGATAGAGTAAGGGAATGTTATAGCCCCATGAGCTTTTTTTTTTCTATGTCCCATTACCAAGATTTAACTTAAGTTCCTGTGCGATAGCCACAACAGGAAGTGAGGTGTAATCCCTCCAAAGAGAGGGAAATCCCTGTTGGTCAGCAGGGTCACCAGAACTAGTGTCCCCATTGGAAGATTTCTCATCTATTCCTGTTCTGATAACAGCCCACTTTTACTTTCAACCTGGGCTATTGTGAATAGCCCGTACAGCACCCCTTCGGTTCCACTGAACCGAAGGGGTCCTGGGGCCGAAGCTAGCCGAAGGATCGGCCGAAGCTACGGCCAGATCCTTCGGCAGCTTCGTGAATAGACCCCATAGAGTGGGGGAATCTCCCTAACAGGGACACAGACAGCAATAAAACCTGACAGGTGTTCTTATCCCTCTCCACTCTATCCAAAAGTAAAACAAGTTTTGGCTTCAGTTGCACATTTGCCATGTTAAGCAAACCCTGACAGAACATGTGCAGATTCTACAGCTGAGCCACAGCACTAAGTTCATATAAGTCTATTGTGCTGAAAGGGTAAATTGGAGGTAGGCTCTATATCAGGAGTAGCCAAACATCTATGTTGAAACTACAAATCCCATCATGTCTCTGCCTCTGTGACTGACAGTCTTGCAATGCCTTATGGGACTTGAAGTTCCCCAGAGCTGGAGGGCCAGATTTTGCCTACTCCTGCTCTGTATGACCTGGAGTTGCAGAATAACCCACTGATCTGTTAGGACCTTGTTTCTGCTGTGACTACCAACACAATTCATTCTCAGTCAATACTCAACTCTTTTAACCACACTGCCGTCTGGATGTTCCAGTTGTCAATAAACATCTTGAAGCTATTAGACGTCTAAAATGAAAAGCATAGAAGAAACACAATGGGATACAACGGTAATGTATACAGTAACTACAAACACAGTATATTGGTTTGCAAAACAGTACATGTGTTTCCTAGCAAAATCTGATTACAACTACTAAATACATATGGCATATTTATTAAAAGAGACACTGTCACTTTGCCCATGTAAGGCCCCTTTCACACGGGCTGATAAGGAGGGGATCCGTGCATAGACCGCTGTGATATCCATGTTCGTACAGTTTTTTTCTCCATCTTGGAATGGAGGAAAAAACTAAAACTGCCGAACCCATGTTGGTCTATGGGGAGTCGGATGTAAATGGACATGTGTCCGCTTATATTAGATTACCCCTGATCTGACATGATCAGGTCTGGCGCAACGGAACACTGTTCCTTTTGTTTTTCAAGAGCTGGCCGGAGTTGGGGGTAACCGGGTGTAAATGGACGCCCGTCTGTTTACACAAGGCTACCTATAGACTAGGATAAGGCATCCGATTGGGTCTGACAAGTAGACCCAATCGGATTGCCGTGTGAAAGGGGCCTAAGACAAAGTGACAGTATCTCTGAAAAGGCCCTCAACCTACTGTTACATCTGTGAGTGAACGTCCCCCCTGCTCCTTCCTCCATCGCAGCTGTCACCAAAATACCAGGCGTCGGCACCTAGAGGGATTGGCAAGATACCCCCTGCATGGTATGACAATGTTCGGGCCAAGTGACTGGATGCTACACCCAGACACTATTTAAGCAAAAATAAAATCATAAAGAACAAACTAGATATTTATAGGAAACCTGTCAGTACCCCAGAAAATTTAAAGCAGAACTCTGGGGTCTATTCACTAAGCTGCCGACGGCAGCCGAGTGAATAACCGACCCGAAGTGAAGTGAGCAGAACGCTGTTCGGCTAATTCTCATAGATGCTGAGCGGCATTCGGCTCGGCTGTTCTGCCCGGTCCCTCTGTGGTACCGAGCAGAATGGAAAAATAGTTTAAAAAGTAGAGAAAAAAATAGAAAACGATTGTGCGGAGCTAGCAGTGACAGCTAGCTCCGGCCAAACGGTTTTCTATTGGCCACCATAGGAATGCATAGCCAGATTCCTATTGGCTATTCCACTTTGCAATAGCCAATAGCAAACTAGCTATTGCACCCGCCCTCTGCTGCTGTCAATCACCAGAGGGGGTCCTGATGGAGAACTACAGGTCCCCCTCTGCTGATTGACAGCAGCAGTGGGCGGGTGCAAGAGCTAGTTTGCTATTGGCTATTGCAAATTGAAATAGGCAATAGGAATCTAGCTATGTATTCCTATGGTGATTTTATTTTTATTTTTTTATTCTGACGGCAGCCAACAACTCCGATGTCAGAAGAAAAGAAAAAAAAACGAGCAGGGAAAGGTTTACCTTTCTGGGAGAAAGTGTTTCTCTCCCTTGCGGCCGGGAGCCGTATTAGACTACCAGAGCGTCCGAGAGAGTAATGACAGATGGCATTCCTGTTTACCAGGAACGCCATCTGTCATTACACATTGAGAACACAGAGAGGCCGCTGTGATATCATAGTGGCCTGGCCGGGTTCTCAGTGTGTAATGAGAGCGTCCCTGGTTACCTGGTAACCAGGGACGCTGATCTCTCTGCAAGGGGCCGGAGCCAGCCGTAAGATGACGGCTGGCTCCGCCCAGCTGTCAGAAGCAGGCTGTCTTCGGCTTTCACCTCGGCTCAGTCGAGCCAAGGCATAAAAAAAAATAAAAATTGCCAAGTTAAACGCTCTCCACACTCCTCGTTGTCTGCAGCTTCCTCCTCAGTCCAATGCCACCACTGCTCTTCAGGCAGAACGACATCATGTCAATCTGCCCATTTCCTGTGTACCCACCCTGTCATTTACATGCCTCCAGTGCACCATGATGCAGGCTGGGCTCACAGTACTCCAGGACTGAGTGGCGATGGAGTTCCATTTTGAACTGAGCATATGATAAAAAAATGTGTAAGTTATTTGCAAATAAGACTTTTCCAGTATACGTTCTGTTTCACACCACCTCCTCTAGTGCTTTCCTACCAGTCGCTGAGGTCAGCCTACATATTAAAGGTCCAATGGGGAAGCTTGAGAAAAGGGAAAGGCCAGTTTGACTTTTATATGAAAACTCCAGATCTGCATAGAAGTTAGGTGGTTTTCATTGAAGCCTTTGTTTTATCAGATGTTTAATCTAATTTAATGATGGGTTCACTTCACAGCATACAACACAGTTCTGGTTTTCTAAAATGAAAGGGATTTCATACTTTCAGAAAAACAGAACAAATATAGCTTATTTGCCAATATCTTCTTACAGCATGTCCATGTTGACTTGCAATGTAGAACTCTACTCCTGAAAAATCCAATCAGAGAAGGAGTTTCCCAGAATTGACTATCACTAACATACTCCTTAGGTTTTTTTTTCTAAAGCAATAAATCTTTAAATCAGAACTCTGGGGAAAAATATGATTAACCCTTGCACTGGGGCTGCTGCTGCACTGTAAGGGTTAAGTGCTCATTTTGGTCTAGGGACTAAAATATAAAAAGTTATACTCACCGATCCTCGGAGCCGGCTTGCTGTTAGATCGCTCCTTCCAGCATCTCTACCCATCTGCTGCAGCGATCTAAGGATCCTCAAGTCATCATGTCCAATATAGTGTGTATAGGACGTGAGGGCACAGAGGGACATTCCACTGGAGGGAGCATTGTGACAGCCACCTGGTTCTGAAGATCAGGTTAGTATAACTTTTTTTATTTTAACCCCTAGACGAAAATGAGCAATTAACCCTTGCAGTACAGGGGTGGCCCACTGCAAAAGTTAATCATATTTTTTCCTGAAGTCCTTCTCTCATATAAAAATTAACCATAATTCCTTCATACCATTTAAATTTCAATACTTTACCTAAGGAATGTATTTGGGCTATTCTCACCTCAATTCTTAATATATTTAGGTTGGTCAGTAGATCCCATCGCTCCTTTCCATCTTCAGAGATTCCATTAAACCCAAAGCCAGCTGCATTATTAATGGCATCAGCTAAACACAAAAAAACAACACATCAGTTCTAGCATTTATTTCCACATTATAATAATTATTGTTGTGTAAAAAAATAAAATGTACTAATCATTCTATAGCTGGAGTACCATAAGTGGTTTGTTGTTGCTGAATGCTGCCATTCTTTCACTGCTGCATTCTCCATTCCTTCCAATAAAACATCGATTAAAGTGGTATTAAACCCTTGTTTAGTTTTTGGGAGATCCACATTTGCTTAAAGGAGAACTATGGGGTCAAACTAGCATCCTCCCATTACCCTAAGCTCAGTATACCGCGAGCTACAGCTCGCGGTATACTGAGACGCCGCAGCCGGAGCGGATCCTGACATCGATGTCGAGATCCGCCCAGCTGCGTGAGTGACAGCTGGCTCTGCCTATCAGAGCTGTACCCGCCCCCTCCCCCGTCCGTTCCGCCAGTCAGCGCTGGCGGATCGGAGCAGGGAGAGGGGAATCCAGCCCCTCCCCTGTCACGGCAGAGAGCCGTGACAGGATCGAGAGGTGAGCGAACGCCGGTATGTGTTCGCTCACCTCCCGATCTACTGAGCCGACCTGTGACAGTCTCATTGTCACAGGTCAGCTAGAACTTTGAGGTGAGTGAAAAGCACTCACCTCATAGTTCTCCTTTAATTAGCTTCTTTTTTATTTATACTGCCCCATTTCATTTATTTCCTTCAGGTCATATACCACGGGCCATCCCCTCCAGCTTATGGGTGTCTCCTTTGCCTAGCAGGTTGCAAAGAAGACACCCGTGGATGCTGACAGATGGGAACGGAGCCCATCTCTTTGCGCACTAAATTGCACGACTCTCAACAAGCCAAACCCCTGTCCCCGTCTCCTCACACTAATTTGACAGGCAGGTACAGCAGCCTATCGCTGCCCTGTCCTCAGTGGCCTCCCTCCTCTCAACCCAGAACTTCCGGGAAGACGCACAGATCATCTGCGAGCCGGTGTCGGTGAATGTGGACCATAAGTGTTTGGAGGTGGGGGGCATGGAAAGGTAGAGGGGCATTTTTTTACCTCAGTGCAGAGAATGCATTAAGGTAAAGAACAGATAAAATGCATTAAGGTAAAAAACAGATACCCTTTAGTACAGGGGAGACTGACAGCTTTACTTGTCCTAAAGTCATATGATACAGCAGCAGTAGTCAACCTTGCCACTCCGGCTGTGGTGAAACTACAATTCCCATGTAACCTTGCCACTCTGCCCCAAGGGACTTGTAGTAAAAAACAGATACCCTTTAGTACAGGGGAGACTGACAGCTTTACTTGGCCTAAAGTCATATGATACAGCAGCAGTAGTCAACCTTGCCACTCCAGCTGTGGTGAAACTACAAATCCCATGTAACCTTGCCACTCTGCCCCAAGGGACTTGTAGTCCCACAACAGCTGGAATGCCAAGGCTGCTCAACCTTGTGATACAGTAATGGCTCTGTTATGACATAGTGGAAATCCTTGAATCTTCAGCAGGAAATGTCACTTCTGGATTCCCCACAGAAACAAAAAGTGGCAGGTGATTTATCCCACATGTGCCAACCTAAACTTGACATATATTATTCATTTCTTACCTAGAGTCCAGGCAAAATAGTACTTAGGTCTTCTTGAGGCTGCTGTCAGGTAGATATCTGAGAAATGACCAAATATTGAGCGTTCTGGATCACTAGATACAGAGAACTGATCCGACACTGTAATATGGATAGCGAGAATAACACAGCACAGGGTCAACTTCTTGCAAACCGCCACCTAAGGTGAGAAAATATTTCAGTATCATGTTAAAATGTGTCTCTGCCACAGTCACTGAGAATGCCCCTCTCTGGCTCCCCTCTCATGTAAATGAGTGTTTGCAGCCTCCCATCGTCTCTCTTGTGTCACTGTGTCTGCAAAGATCACTCTCACGGAATACAAATACAGTGTGGGACTCTTTTGATAGCTATGGTTATGTCCAGTGACTTGAAGGGTGTTTTGTGGTAGAAGGCATGACTTTTCAGAATTAAAAGGTTTCAGATTCAAAGACAACCGCATTAAGGGCTACTCGGTGTATTTGTTCTAAAGATGACCTCAAGAAAGTTCCAGTGGGTATAGTTTGGATAAATAATCTGCTTTAAAAATGTTTAATGACTGTACCATTTCACTATATCTTCTGTGTCCAAATGTGCACATTTTTGCTAGTATACACTATGTTGAATGCATAAAATGTAATTGTATTATATTTGAGAGGCCATCGTATAAATATAGAAATATTGCATCCAAAGAGTCCTAATGCCCTACATATTGCAATACCAGCCATTTTATTTGACACTTAAATGAGCTGCATATCTTTTTAATTCTCACTACCTAGTGTTACTCACATTTGGGTTTCCAGTCTTCTCATTACCATGTATAAAAATTTGGTAGTCATTAAAGGAACAAAGAGGACCAGCAAGAAGTCCTAAAAATCCCACAGTGTAACTCAAGTATGGAAGGAGTCCAGGTGGAGACCTAGAGACAACAGCAGAAAGTGACAGAGACAAAGAGTGTTTGAGAACGATTATTATAAATACTATGTACGGTACACCATATCACTATTTTTGTAAACATTTTAAAATATGTCCTTTTCCAATGCTAGAACTATAGAACAAAGAATGGAGCTAGACTTTTGCTCATCTCAGCACACCAAATCAGAAACAAGAGTAGAAGACAGAGACTAAGGCAAAGCAGAAACTTAGGGTGTATGTACACCAGGAAAGCAGAATAAACCAAGAATAGGAGATGCAAAGTCACCAGAACTCCAGAGATGTAATTGCTTCCCACAGATTTATTGTGAAGAACAGCGTCACAGACATATATACCGGTACTGATGTTTTAGGGCCTTGCAGGGTCCCTTTCTCAAGGCAACATAGAGAGACTCATGGTGATCACTCTATTTTGCCTTGAGAAAGGGGCCCTGCGAGGCCCCGAAATATCGGTGTATACCATGCTTCCCCGAAAATAAGACACTGTCTTATATTTTTTTTGGCTCAAAAAAACACACTAGGTCTTATTTTCGTGGTAGGTCTTATTTTTTTTTCAATGTATAACAATTGAAAGTTAATGCAAATCCAAATTAAATAATCCAAAATAGCAAAGTTAAGAATAGAGTGATCTGGGCAATCAGGGGTGCCATACCATTCCAAGAGCAATTTGGCAACCAGAATGAGTGAAGCACACTTTCACTATAGATTCCTCACAGGCGGAGTGCATTTGGTATCACTCCTCCTGTGACAGGAGCCGGCGCTATAGAGGAGGCATCGCCTTATGCGGCTCTGCTCCTTCCGCTGCTGCCTCCCTTCCTCTAGCGCTGGCTTCTTTGGCACCGCTGATTCTCTCCCCCTGCTCTTCAGGTTCCCCCTTATGCCACCACCGGCCCTGGGAACGGTCACAACTAGGTCTTATTTTCGGGGTAGGTCTTATATTTTAGCAATTCCCAAAAATGGTACTAGGTCCTAATTTCGGAGTAGGTCTTATTTTCAGGGAAACAGGGTATGTCTGTGACGCTGTTTTTCACAATAAATCTGTAGTACACAACTGTGTTGTTGCAATAGTGTTCTTATACATCTACAATCACCACAAGCATTTGGAAATCATGGGAAATGTAGTTCAGGTTGCTGTCTCCACTGCAGCAGAAAATGACATGTAAGCACTGCTGCAAATACATGCCCAAACTGTAAGTCAATTTGAGAGTTGTTGCGGTGTTCCTTAGGTGCCCAAGCAGTGTCACGGTCATTGCATTACATTACTAATAAAAAAGAGTTAAAGGAATTAACCATGGAGGCGGAGCTGTATTTAAAGGTAAAGTAACAAAATGTGCAAAGTGGCAGATGTACTTTAACACAGAAGTGTAGGCAGATATAAAGTTTAAACATGTATTTGAAAGTGCGTCAGTCTGTATTGATATTCTCCGCTAATAGTTCTATGCACAGTAGAATTCATACTAGAAAAGGAGGGGGCAGAGCACTGTAAGCCTATCATAAACAGATTGCTGGCTGAAAGAAGGCAACGACAGGGTTACTGCTCCTTTACTATCCATTTACAAGGCTGAGGCAGTCATTGACCAAGTGAGCTCAAAACCTGTCTGAGCTGTCTGACAGGGATTTCTGGATTAGAAGAAGTGGCTGAGCTGGTTAGCACATTTTTTTGGCAGCTAGGACAGTTGGATGTTGTGTATTAGGACTGTAAATATAGCTGTTAGTCTACACTTCCAGTGTACATGTCTAGCACACATGTTGTTCTCTTCACACTGCACAAGAAGGACTAAAGCTAGGAATATGCTTCCAATTTTCCTCTAAGGGCAAGCAGCACTTACATTGTAGAACCAACACAACCACACTGACTGCCTTTTCAGTTTTCCATGTAGAGGGCAGCAGTTACAACTGTTACCTGCAAACCCACTATACATCTACAGTGACATTAATGTTTATATTTGTGCAGATACCTAAAGCTGACAATACATGGGCAAACCTCCCTGGCAAATATGAGATGAGTGTTTTCATATAGACAGCTGCACAACTAACACACATACTCTTCAATATGCAGTGAAAAAAGATTATTTCCTTGACCTTATAAAAAAAGGGTGTGATCTAACAAATAGTGGTCTATGTATCAATATTTTCACCCAAGATTTACAAAATCAATTGTGTGAAAGTTGTGTGAATCTTGAGTGATAACATTGATATACAAAGAATCTCTGGCCAATGCAAATATTGTAACTTCAATTTCTACCAGTGCTCATTTGTTACATCGCACACTGCCAGCAAATATCAGGTAACATATGGCCAGCTTTAATTAGTCCTACTCCTAATTCAGTTGTGATATGCATTAAAGGAGAATTATGAGGCGAGTGATTTTCACTCAGCCTCATAATCTGAGCCGACCTGTGACAATGAAACTGTCACAGGTCGGCTCAGTAGATTGGGGAGCAAACACATATTGGCGCTCGCTCACTTCTCGATCTATCCCTGCAGAGAGCTGTGACTGTCACTCACGGCTCCCTGCAGGGATTCCCCTCTCCCCTGTCCGATCCTCCAGCACTGACTGGCGGAACGGATGGGGGAGGGGGCGGGCACAGCTGGCTCTGTCTCTAGATAGGCAGAGCCAGCTGTCAATCCCGCAGCTGGGCGGATCTTGACAGCAATGTCGGGATCCGTTCCGACTGCGGCGTCTCAGTATACTGAGCTTTGGGTGACGGGAGGACGCTAGTTTGTGTTCTCCCGTGACCCTTAGGAAAACTATAGGGAAAAAGCCCTGACCCCATAGTTCTCCTTTAAATGTAAAGGGACAAGTGCTTCTTCACCCACATCTATCCTTTCAAAGATGTTTTTATTGTTCTCTACAGGCACGCACCAGAATTTCAGCATGTAGATTTTTTGTAGATGCTGTCAGTGGTTTTACCTGAAGTTTATTGAGCAGTTTTCTAAATGTTGCATGTAGCTATACCAATTGGGAAACACAATAGGTTCAATTCACTAAGCTATAGTATTTCCTGCTATGGTCATTATTTTCAGTCTCATGACTATTATTTTATGCTCTTATTGGTTCCTATTGCTGAAAATAATGATCGTTTGCTGAAGATATAATGTTGGCCATATACTGACAGATAACAACCTAAATTCATGGCCAGAGAAATATCTGCCCATCCTCAAATGGGTCCCTGGACATCAGAACTCAGAGATATATCTTGCCTGACAGTGACAAAGGCCTGATTATGAAATTTAGATGCCTTTCTCAAAGGCTGTGGTGTAACTGTGACAAAAGTAAATGAACAATATATGTAGTCAAGATTAGACTATGTTAAATTACTCATAAATATTAGATTATTATGCCAACCATGGACCTTAGCAGGCAATAGCAGTAGACCAATCTTTCAGTAAAAGTAAATAGGTTGGGTCAGGTTTTACCAAGATAAGAGGGGAGCCAAATCTGTCTAGTGCCAGCTTAATATTGATTATGCATGGAGGATAATGTGGACCTTTATACTTTGTTCAGCACAAAATGAGAACATATTGCCTAATAAAGCCATGTTCTGTGGGACAAATACCTAAACCTGACAATCTATATGATTATTCCTCAGCACATATAATAAGAAAGATATATTAGATACCATATTAATGATCATGTAGATAAGAAGGATATGAGAGGAAAAAAAGGTAAAGGAAGACAAAGCGAGGGTAAAATCATACCGGATCGCAAGGCGTCTCTGTGAGGGGCTTAGGGATTGGTCATTGAGGATAGCACCTGTAACACGGTATAGGATGTCTGAGATATACTGTATGTAAACACTGCTAATTAACATAATAAACAACAAATACTTGCAAACGAGTTCCCTAATGGCTGCCCTGCTTGAATTACAACAGTACTTTATCTTGCAAAGAACTACGACAGGACTTGATAAGGGTTGGTGGAAAAGGAAACCTTTTCATGTTGCAGTGCTTTCACAGTGGTTGGAGGACCAAGTAAAGTCACCTGTACCACTACATCCCTTCTTACAATGTACACAGTAGGAGATAGAGGCTTGCAATTCAGCTTTATCAAGGTAATGAAAATGCCCACTACAATGTAATAATGTAGATCTGTTTAGTCTTTTGTATTGTCTAAGTGGCACTTATAAAAGGCAATCATTTTGCAGTAATTAAAACATAAAATAATTTGCGATTGGTTACTTTGGATTACAGTATTTTGCAATGCGGACCTTGCAGTGCAAGCCATTTAATTACTCGGGACCCCCTCCCTCATGCCAAACTGCTGCACTAAAATTAAACAAAAAAACTGTGGGTAAAGAAGTGAATAAATATATTTAACTTACCCCTGGGTTCTGAATTTGCGAGGGGTGATGTCACCATTCTTACAGCGAGATCCCAGGGAATGCTAAGCAGTCCAAATCTCACAAGACGATGCTCCATCACAGCATAGGAATGCCTTTCTGCGAGATTTGGAGCAAGCGAAAGCTGCCGATAAAGTAAGTATATTAACTAACTTTTTTTAAAGGCTATTTCTAGGGAAAACAATTACCCCTGCATTGAATCTACCCCACATTGCAAGGGTTAACTGCTCGTTATTGTCTAGGGGTATTGTATAAAGGTAATTTACTTTCCTGATCCCCATTCCACCAGCAATTGGCGCTTACCTCTCTGTCCCCTGCTCTGGCTTGTGGTCTGTGTTTTGGCTTTGGGCCCTGCATTAGATGTGCTGATGTTAGCGGGCCTCTGACTGCTGGAGCAGAAGAGTGGGGTTGCTGGTCTTGGAGCCTGCGGGGGCAGGGAACAGGTAAGCAAAAGCCCTTTACACAGGTACCCTAGACATAAAGGAGCAGTTATTTCTTGCAGTGGGGGGCGGGGGTAGCCTCACTGCAAGGGTATTTTTTTTTTTAACCTGGAGATAGACATTAACCGGGATTTTTTGTTTTTCTTTTACTTCATTTTAATACAGTGTTTTGGCATGTGGAAAAAAGGCCTTGGGTAAATAAACATACCTTGCATTTTAAGTCCACTTTAAGTTAAAAAAAAGTTGATATCCTCAACTGTAACTGGGCTGTGCACTTAACATATGGGTAGGTCCTCACTGCTGCCGATCAGCCTCCACCCTTTGCATCCTTTACATAATTTCTCATATACTCTTGTCTACAAAGGAAAAACATTCACTACATAAAGGAAGTCAATACATGGCCCTGCAAGTGTTAGCGTGAACAGGAACAATGTTGTTATTAGTATGGAAGTGAAGAGTTCCTGTTCTCTGTCAGGATTCATTTGCCATAGTAAGGAAGAATGGTTGTTAGCTTACCATCATGGTATTCAAAAGCCACCCTGCTTATTTTTTGGGTCAATGTCATTAAGGTCCTGAAAGAAAGACAAATGCCTCGATATAAATAGACAAGATAGTGTGAATATAAGGTGGACGATAATTGTTTTTGACAAAATACTTACACAGTGAAGTCCAGTTCATCTACAAATGGGTTTGCATATCGTCGTATGTGGAAAAATGTGAGATATCCCATGGTCAGGAACAAAGTATACCTGAAAAGAGCAACATTATGTGCTGTTATGTCATTCTAAATTCACAGTAATAATGAACATCTTTTTCCTCAAGACCATACTCCAAACATATATAATAAATCATTATGTACACTTTAAAAATAAATAACTTATTTACAGAGATAGGAAACTTACATTGTAAGCTCCTTGGGGGCAGGGACTAAGGGGAGTATGCACTGTGTAAAGTGCTGCGTAAATTGTTGGCGCTATATAAATACCAATAATAATCATTATTTCATACAACTTATATGTATGTAGTTGACGTATTGCAGGACCCTTGTGCCCTTATGGTATGTAGACAGTATATCTCATACTTGTAGGGACATGTATAGATGAACATGTTATAAAAAGTATAACATAAAATAAAAAGATAACATAAAAAGATCAATACAATAATCAATGCGTTTCAAATGTGCAAAATTGAATTATAAAGATCCCAAAAGACTACAGTTCTGGAGTGTGTAAAAGATGCATAATCATTGGATGGTCACTAATCTAAAAAGAGGACTGTCTAAAAAACAAAAACAAAAAACCAAGATGGATGTATGCGCTTAATACTATGGTTCCTGGAGGCATCAGTGTGGAACTGGCAATGAATTGCTTCATTAGTAATGCATAAGGGGTTATAACAGTAATTGTGTAAATTAGTAGGAGTAGGGTCTGAGTAGGTATTTTAAAATTGACAATGATCTGATATGGTGCTATTAGGGTTTTGAATGAGATTTCAATGTTTTATTTTTATAGTTTACATAATGATTTATATCCCTGGTGCCCAATCTGTAGACCAAGGGCCACATACGGCCCTTTAGTACTTGCTGTGCGGCCCTTTGCAGACCCCAGCAATCACTAGTGCTAGGATTCATTTCTAAATAGGCTATAAAGACACAGATCTCTGGTAGTCTTATTTAGCATGTCCGTAGTCTCTCTATATCTCCTGAAGAGTGTCTTCAGTCTCCAACCACCTGTTGCATGTCAGCAGTCTCTGATCATCTCCTCTAGTATGTCTGAAGTCTCTGACAGTGTTCTGTCATATACTGAATAGTATGTGTGGCCCTTTGGAGCTGTCAGGGGTTACAGTTGATGCCCCCTACACCTTGTAAGTTGTCAGCCACTGGTTTATATGGTCCATTATATATGTTTGGAATATGGCCTTGTTTTTATATGATTTTTAGATAAGGTACTGTAAGGTGGTTGCTTAATAATGTAAACCTATGCAATACTTATTCTCCGCAGGTGATGCTGTAACCCTTTGGGTGAACTAAAAAATAAGGTGGATTTATTATTCAGAAATATGATATGGTTTTGTCTCTCGGTGTAGTGTTTAGTCTTTTGTAAGACCAACCTGTAGATGGCAATATATGAACCAATGCAGTGGCTCTCAACCTGTGTAACCTCAGGACCCACATTTGCCCTGGGTCATTAAGTCGCGACCCCAGTTGCACTGCAATGGAACGCATGGCATTGTGGTACCACACGTTCCGGTGCGGGCAATCGAACTGGAAGTGGGAGGTGCGTTTGGTGAACCATTCAAATAAATAGCAATGCAATGCACCTCCTACACCAGAATGCACAGTAGATGCGATTGCATGGTGCAGTGCGTTAATTGCATGGGACTGTGCGATTTGACGCACTGTACTACTCTGAACGGGCCCTCAAAAACACTGACAGACCTACACAACCACAATCTCACACACTCACAGACATTCTCACATACACACTCCAAAAAAAGTATTCTTTTTTTTTTTAAAGATCTACCCAGTGTCCCTTAAGAGAACTGGAGTGGATCCTCAGCCTGGGGTCCAGTGTGGGCTGCTGTGCTGTGACGGAGCTCCATTCATATGTGCATTGCTGGTACAACTACCTTGCATGCCCTGTAGAGGTGTCGGGAGCCAGAATGTGACATCACTCCGGTCCAGGCACCTCTACAGGACATGCGAGGGAGCTGTAAGCAATAGATGTATGAATGGGGCTCCCTCACAGCCATACCCCCATCCCACCCCACCTGAAGCTGACACTCGGTTCCGGGCAGCATATTTTGAATGCTGCTTAGTGCGAGAACTGACTGTGTTGCGCTAAGAAGAGGCTGAGGAGCCTCTTACCTGGAAAAGTGGAAGGCCACAAGGACAGCGACCCACTGAACACGAGGTCGCGACCCACTGAACACGAGGTCCCGACTCCACTGAACCCACCAGTTGAGAACCAAGGAACTAATGTTTTGCTAGTATCGTTTGGAGCAATAGTTTAGATGTTTCCATGGCTACAGATGGTGTATATCAGAGTGTGAATATATATCGCTACTCCATGCCCCTGATGAAGTCGTAAGGATGAGATGTGTTGGGCAGAGCTAGATGACGAAAGAACAGACATGCGTTTGTCAAAGATACTGTTCAGTGTTTAGAGGGAAAATTGTTGGTTTAAACTAAGATGCTGCTTGCACCAGCTATGTGCATGTTATATGTGTGTATGCTGGTCTAATAAAATAGAAAGACAGGATTACCCTATGGGGTCTTTATAACACTTTAGATAGCTTGTTCATGTAGCGAGACGGCATGTAAATTAATCCTGTGTAAGTTAACCAGCTATTGTGAGAATGGGACAGCATTGAATGTTGTTAGTGTCATTTCTCTCAAATCGAATGTTCTTCAATATGTATAGTCATAAAGAAGAGAGTAAATGGGGAAAATACTGCATTATGGTCACTATATGGAATTGAGGCTCTTAGGAAATAAATACATGTAAGTAATGAGATATGTTACAATTCAAGAGACTGCAGGAGAGAATGAACATATAAATGTAACCATTGATACTACTTTCCTCTGATTGCTCTGTCTAATAAATGATTTTCCCCATTCACTCTGTTCTATATGAATTAACCTATTGAAGAACATTTGACCAGAGAGAAATGACACTAAGGGGTCTATTCACCAAGCTGCCGAGGGCAGCCGAGTGAATGACCGATCTGAAGTGAAGTGAGCCGAACACTGTTCGGCTATTCACTTCAGGCTGGTACGGCTTTTCAGCTTTCAGCACGGCTCAGCCGAGCCGATGCATATGCGTTCGGCTCGGCTGAGCCGCTCGGCCATGATCGGAAGCTGTACGGGCTATTGTGAATAGCCCGTACAGCACCCCTTCGGTTCTACTGAACCGAAGGGGTCCTGGGGCCGAAGCTAGCCAAAGGATCGGCCGAAGCTACGGCCAGATCCTTCGGCAGCTTTGTGAATAGACCACTAAAAGAATATTTGATTTTGCCCTATTCTCACAACAGCTGGTTAACTCACACAGACCATACAGTTTTGTTGTATGAATAAGCTATGCATATTTTTTTATAAATAGACCCCTATATGTATTGTTTTTGCTCTTGCATAACGGGAACACCTGCCTGGGAGTAAAGAGTGGAACATCTGTCAACTTCCTTAAGAAAGATGAAAATTTAAGTGCATTTGACTTTCTCCAATGCTCAAAGGTCCAGCTAAGAGGGTAAATGTATCAGCCCTATAAGGGTTACAGTGCTTCCTCTCGCACAGTAAACTGGATTGAGTTGAGTGATCATGAACTGGAGCAAAAAAGGTTCATAAGGGATTTCAGCACGTCAGCACTTTTTGATGAACTGACTTACACATTTTGGGATTTCTTAGATGGTTTATTTACTACACGCTGCACTTTGGACGGGTTTTGAAACATTTTCGAAGGTTATGGAATAGATTTTTTTTCATGTGTAGATAAATGTAAACTTTTTAAATTGAATTGAATTACTGATTTAACACTAAAAAGTAGGATTGTGTAAAGCATTTGAGCACTGTTTATTGTTATTTTGCACTTATTAGGTGATGTACTACACCTATTGTTGTTTAAAGTGTAACCACTGATAGTGTTACTATGTAGTGTTTACATTATAGTGCTAGAAGACGTTTGCTGTTTATAAAGATATTTGTCATAGAAAAGGAATCATTGAAGTCTTTTAATATACAGTAATACCTTGGTTTACGAGCATAATTGGTTCCGGAAGCATGCTTGTATTCCAAAGCGCTTGTATATCAAAGCGAATTTCCCCATAGGAAATAATGGAAATTCAGATGATTCGTTCCACAACCCAAAAATATTCATATAAAAATATTTACAATACAGTACTGTAATATAATACCGTACAAAATATAAAGAAAAATACCGGTACCTTCGTGGCTGGTGTGTGGGGGACAAGAGAGAGGAGGATTATTGTGGAGGACAACTTTCACTATCACTGCTATCTCTTGACTCAATGGAATCTTCTTCATTTCGTGAAACCTTAACAAGGAATCTATTCAATGTGACATTGCATTTCCGTTAAACAGACTCATCGCTCGCACTGCTACAGCCTTATTCGGGTGGCGCTTTTCTACAAAATTTTGCTCTTATTGCAAGACATTGCTTGTATATCAAGGCAAAATTTTCCAGAAATGTTTGCTTGTCTTGCAAAACACTCTCAAACCAAGTTACTTGTAAACCAAGGTATTACTGTATAGTTCAACAGACTGTTGTCACTGTACTGCACATACAGTATATATGCATGCTGGGAAAATAGGAGTGTGCATCTGTGTTTGTCAGAAGGGAAGCTTACAAGTGCTCTGCATCCTGCATTGGGAAATCCCCCCGTGAAGTTAACCAGTGTTTCATTATAGCAAACATATCAGGTAAGATCTAACTTTTTAGCAATAAACAGTAAATCACTTTTCCACATGTATAAAGATAACATAAGTGGAAAAAATACTTATAGTAATCTCTTAATTAAATCATAATCTTCCCTGCCTCTATCCACATGATCTATGTCATGCCACAGGTCACTTGAGGCAGATAACTTTGTCAGTGATATCATCAACTTCCCCTTGCCACATGGGGTGTCATCTACAACTGTTTACAATTGTTTACAGAGCTCCATGGTAACATGACAAGCTGTGCACAATAGCGAGGGAATATGGAAACACGTTGTTTAAAACAGAAGACTCCCA